TGGGGAAATATATCTCGATACGATGTGCTGCGAAAACGAAATTCTCTGAGAAAAGTTACAGCTTTCCTACTTTCCATTATCGGAAAAATATTATTTACCTGTATTGCGGGGTCACTCGTCTTTGCGGCGTCATATTTTTATTTAATTGAATTTATTATTGCTAGAAATTATACAGCGTAACATCCCCGTGAGACAAACTATTGGCGGAGAGCACAGACCGCATGCAATATTAACGCAATCATTATTTCAAATTATGTTTATCAATCTATCTCTGCCAAGTAAACGATGTTAAATCTAAACTGAATTGTTGAATGAAATTAACGAAATTGATTTTAACATCACTCGTGTGAAGCTATTGTGTAATTATAATAAACAATTATTAACATTAAAACCTATGCAAGTCCGTTAAATATTGGCTATTATAAATTAATCGATTAAATAATTAAGATTTATATTAGAGGTAAACGATCCGGGTTTTTGTTTAATACAGACGCGATTCGCGCAATAATTTGAAATTACATGGCCAATTAAATAATTAATCACGGTAAATGGCAAAACGCGCGATACGTAGGAGGGGTGGGGGGGAGGGGAGGAAACGAGTTTTGCCGAGCTCGTGCGCAATTGGCGTGCCACACACGCATCGCATGCGGTCGGCTCTTTCGTCATTGAAACTCCGACACGCTCATAACGCAGACTTCATTAGCTCGTAAACAGTCGGTCGTGCGCTTATCAATGCAGGTCCAGAGTTAGAGCCCAATTGTGAGTCCGATCGTAATCGAACGCGAGGCATGTTTGCTAAAAACATATAGCGGGGAACTCGCTGATCTTAGATGGAGACGCGCGCGCTACATGCGCTTTTACTTGCGAAAGCCGGTATATATATAAACTGGCGTAAACGCTCTGATAGGGCGTGTAACAAGGGAAGTTACGACGAGGGGCGATAATAATTACTTCGCTGTACGCTGCCGCCGCCGCCGCCGCCGCCGTCATCGCCGCCGCGAACGTTATCGGAAACTCAGTTTGCACTAGTTTTTAACGCAAAACAGTGCAACGCAGATTGCCAATAATTTACGACGCAGCAATAATTAAGGAATGAATTATGTAAGTCAAACTGTATTGTACAAGTATCTCACTATACGATATACGTGTACATTGATTTATTCTTTAATTATTATCAATTGTTAACTTATTTCTAATTATTTGTTAATTTTATCATTTTTATAATTTCTTAAAATATGTAGAATAAATGAGACATTATAAGAAATAGTAAAGATAATAAATGTAAACTGTTAAATATATCTAAATATATCTATTATTTATATGTAGCCATAAATAATAAAATTGCCGTTTAATTTTATTGACCTATAATGCGTTAAATTAGAATACAAGTTTTTTTATATGTAATAAGTAACTACGGGTTATTACTGATTAAATATTGCCATGAATAGATCGTGTCTATATTTTTATTTTATAATTTTTAATTTATAAATAAATACACACACACGCACTCTCTCTCTGTCGTTGTCTCTCTTTTGCTTCCTTTCTAAAGCATTTGTGTGTAAATAATTACTATAGGATCAAATAATAAAATATATCACAATATCAATTAAAATCCTAAATATTAAACGTATCAAGACACAACGTATATACACATAATGAGAAGGTTTTTGTTTTCATATTTTATTATTTAATATATGGGAATCAAACGTTGCTAAAATTATCGGATTGCCGGTCTCTGCTGGGGAAAGATAAAGTTAACAGCCTCATAAAGTTTACGCGCAAGTAGATAATTCAAGTTTTTCAGGAAAGCGACGAAAATGGAGCTAACAAGCAGTCTGAAATATCGCAATAACTGCGATTCATGCCGGTATTATGGCACGTGGGAATACCTATATTAGACCCTGTACTAATGCATATACCGCCGCGCCGTGCATGCCTAGCCGCGGAATATTATTCCGTATTCACGTATGCGTGTGTTTACCCGCGGAGCACATCCTGCGCCGCATATATAACCAAGAGTTACAGAAGTGAAAATTTCCCGCACCGTGTACCGCCGCGGAAGCGCAACGCGCGGCGCTCATATCATTTTTCTGCCCCTTTTACCCGAGAAAAGAATACGAGGGACGACATTACGTGTACAGATTGCACATATTTAAACGGTCTAAATTAAATTTCTCTGCTTTCCCGCTTTAAACTTCTGGGTTTTCATCTTTTATATTTGCGTTTATATGATCTTCCGCGAGGTATGTTGAAACACGCGCGCGCACGCGCGCGTGTAAGTGCTCGCGATATAATTATTCGTACGTGAAATACGGCTCTCAAATACTACAGAAGGAATTATTCAAATTGTGTTTTACGCTACTTATATTATTATATAAGAAATGTGTATTTCGCAGTATGTATCACTCTACAATAATATAGTAGTAATTCGACAAACATAACGAACATATTAAATAACTAAAACAAGAACTAAGAATTAACTTAAATAAAAAAGAGGAAATAAAACGATAAACAAATTAATATAGTCGTTCGATTTTTTTTCGCAAACTAAGCATTAAGTTTGTGAGATTGTGAAAGTATAAATAATTTTTTCCCGCACGTGCCTTTCGCACGAACTTGTCGATTCCCGTGCAACGGCGTAGCTCGGAAGGATAAGACAATATTTTCCAGTGCACCTGAGTAGTGGACTTATTAAAGGCATAACGGAAGATTCTAGCATATGAAGAGGTAGACACAGTCAACACGATACTTTAGAATTTCAACGAATTGAATTTGCAAGTTCCGAAGACGCCGAGCTCGTCATTAAAGTTTTAACCAGCTTGCCAATATGATTTGGTGCACGTTGGAAAATTTGATGAGAAATACATACGGCCGGGCTGGAGAGAGCGCAATAAATCAATACGTGGTAAATTGTATGGAAATCGGTGGAATAATCACATCTTGCCAGAAATATCCTATTATCTCTGCCGGAGCCACTCACGCAAACGCTTCACAGGGTGAAAACAGCCCCTGCGGGGACGAACGTGGAGACAGAAATGTGACCGAGTGTTTCAAACAGGTTTCGGGCCGCGGGATACTTCGTACACGAGGCACGAACGTTGCAAATAAATCAAGGCTCCTCTGGCTTCCGTTGTAGAGAATCCAGCGAGGGCAGCGCGCGAGTAGGTGCGCTTTCCCGAATGGACAAAAAGGGCAGAGCGACGCGCCGAATGGAGAAAAGCCAGCGTGGAATGTCGAAAGGGAAGCGTGTGGAACTCATCTCGCGATTTATCTAAAATATTTGAATAATAATTTGCGTTCTCGAGCGACTCGCCTTTTTAATAAACACGAAGGACACGCGTCTCAATCTCTTAATAAAATCTATCAATCTTTAAATAGCAAAGTTACAAATTTGTCTTATTATTTTTATATTGTTTTTGCGTTCACACAGACACAGTCTCATAGCGACGTAATTTTTGGAAACTATTTACAATAAGAGTGGCTTCAACTTTAATTCATCAAACTTTAATTGCATTCCGAAACGACAATTATTTTTACAAAAGAAAAACAGATATATTACGAATGAATTTTATTTCAAATCAGTATTTTCCCGATCTATTACTTAAATATATCAATTATCACGGGCAAGTATGAATCTTGTTTGATCTATCGATTTACTTTACTTTGATACTTTGAGTTTGCGTATTTACCGTCGTACACACATTCGGCCGCGAGGGTATGCAATAAACATGAGAAAACTTTACATACGGAAATACGGAGGCAATCTTATCGGAGCGAGATATATTTCGTAGAGGCGCGGCGCGCACGGTGAAATCGAAATAAATAATCAGCGTCGTAATGTAGGCCATGGCGATAAAACGCATTGCGCATAGGTATATATATCGCGCTAACGCACGATGTAATCGGTGTGTACGGCGGACTGTGTGTAGTCCGCTTGAAAAATGCATCTTGTTTGAAATTTGTTGGCAGCCGTTGCACACAATGCTTGTCCAGCGATGTGCAAAATCGCTCTGCGGCATACGATCGTTTCGGTGCGCGCGTGATTTTCGGACGAGATTATTTCCATCTGTGAGAAGAGATAAATGGAATGAGAACGTTTTCGAAAAACGCACGAATGCGCCGATTCGGCCGAAAGATCGGGATCAAATTAAACTTCTGCGATACTGCTATAAAATGTAAAAGAAATTCCGTCCTTTATTATTAAGTAATTTAATGCATGTCATTTACTCTTTTATAATTATTTTTAGTATTACAAATTTTTTTAAATGTAATTCACGAAATTATTTCGATATCAATAACCCCTATGAAAGTATCAATTAATATTGGGAAATTTATGACATGTTAATAAACTGCAGACAGATTTTCATTATTTATTAAGAGTAGTGTTTTCTGTACATAACATACATAGTTTATAAAATTTAGTGCGTTTATAAATATTCTTAAAACGCGATATACCAAACGAGCACACGCTGATGATAATTTTAAGACAAATTGGCTTGTAACGCAACGGTTCGATTTTTATTTTAGATTATCTTCAGTCGAAGAATATAAAAACAAACAGTAATGAATTAAAATAGATCAATGTTTTAGACTTAATATCCACGCTCCATCATCTGCATCTGATTTGTACATGCCTTTAATTCTTCTATCTTGGTTTCATATAATTGAGTTTCCGTATTAGCATTTATATTAAAAGACGTCCTAAACGCGCTATGATGGAGAATACAAATATCTTGAATAATAATTATATTTGTAATACATAACATTATAGAAAGACTAAAGATAATGCTTTTTATTTTTTAATATTATTTTGCAGAATCAATAAAATTGACGCGTACCTTATAATATAAAGTTTTACGTAAATATTGTTTTATGTAATGGCCGGTAACAAAAAAAAAACGATTTCGCAATGTAGTTTTGTACAATATAAGATAAATGTGTAATTAACGACAACTTGTAATTTTTATTTGAAATTAACTTTCCTTCGTTTATGTTTGCAGGTGAACGGATCTTGGAGTTTACCCGGATTTGTTTGTGATTTTTATATCGCAATGGATGTGACTTGCAGTACCAGCTCTATATTCAATCTTGTCGCTATTTCAATAGACAGGTAAACATTCTTTTTTCGCTTACACAAGAATCAAAACATCAATCTAAAAGTACCGCTTGAGAATACTCTCTTGAGATAACTTACATTCCTCTGAATATTTAATATTTAAAGAGATCTAGCTGAATTATTTGATATCGGTAAGATTACTAACTTCTGATAATATTGGATAGAATTTAAAAATTTTTGGGAAACATAAAATAATATAAATGCGTGTTATTACTAAATAAATTTTGCAGTCTTGATGAATTTTTCGCACGTAACTAATAAATTTCGAAAATTAATGTCGTAAAGATGCGTTACGGTCGTTCCTTAAATTCCAATAGTGGAAGACATTAACCAAGACATGTGCTTTCGCCAATTTTCGTGGTCGTAAAAGAGTCACAGTGATTACCGGGAAAGTTTGAAAATCAGGAAAAAGGGGATAGGCTGATTTTATTGGTTTACGTGCCTTGAATAGAACGTAGGGCGAGATCGCACCTATTCTCGGAATGCAACTCATTGATAGGACAATTAGACATACTGGTTTGGATGTAACTTTTTAGATAAATGAATATTTATATACATGAATAATTAACCATAAAATTTATAAAAAAAGAATAACTAATTAAAAGTACTTATATCTATACATACATTATGTAAATTTGAATTTATTATCTCAAATATATAATTATTTACCATATTCTTTTTTTGGGGGAGAAAAGTAATTAAAAAATTTATAAACTTGAAATATGATAAAGTATTAATTAAATTATAATTTAATAATAATACGATCATTTGCTCCGTATAATTTTTAACGCGGTTCTTATCAAAGAAGCATTCCGCAAATTTTCGTTGAACAACGTTCCTTTAAAATTTAAATTACAGTCACCAACCATCCTGTGTTTAAGTTTGCCTAAAAATGCGTAAACTGGAAAAGTGCATATAGATTGCATTTTGAACGGTATTTCGTTTAATTGATTTTATGCCGTTGAATTATGGATGAGAATAACGAGAACCTTTATTGCCCCACCCCCATTGCTTTCTTTGTTCCGGAACGGTACAGTTGACAAGAGGTTTGTCACATAGTAAATTGATGACGGGATGAACAAGAGATTGAAGGGTGCTCGATGATACATATGACAAGAGTGCTATATACCGCCTTCACACTTCGGCTCTACAGAAATAAATTGTTACTAGTTAAATTGCAACGAAAAACACATTAATGCGCAGGCGCATTCGGCGCAATTTTCATTTGAAGGAGACGTAACGATAGATTGTTACAAGCGATGTCAAAAAGCTAAAATCACTTTGAGAGTTTTGTAAAGAAACTTCAGGCTTTAAGATTGTTCTACAGCATTTCTTCCGAACTTCAGAAATCCCCGACTACAATGGCTTGAAAATAGCCTTTTATGACCTTTTCATACCTTCGTATAAAGTTTATATGATCAACCACAAATTTTTGTGGGCGATAAAAACGTGTATTTAGAGTAAATTGACATAAAAAAAATTAATTTTTTCTTCAATTTAAATTAATTTTTTATTGCATGGTATTTTTAAAATAGTAAACATTTTATAATAAATAAAATACGTATTGTCGATTGTATGCTGCATAACATATGGATTTGAAGTTTAAATTGTATATACGCTTTTAAAATTTATTCTCGCTTTTTTAACTTAAATATGCTAATCGCGCGAGATGGGAATTCTGAAGGGTGGACGAGACAAGAGCCGCTGGATCTGCATAGACGGTTTTAACTACGATATAATGATCCCACTGTGCGGGACGGAATTGCAACGCACGCGTACCGATTTTGAATTGCAGATACATAGCGGTGACCCAGCCGATAAAGTACGCGAAGCACAAGAACAATAGAAGAGTATGGTTGACGATACTGTTGGTCTGGGCGATATCGGCCGCGATCGGCAGCCCGATTGTCCTAGGCCTGAATAACACTCCGGACCGGATACCGGACCAATGTCTGTTCTACAATACGGATTTTATCATCTACTCGAGCCTGTCCAGCTTCTACATACCCTGCATCATCATGGTATTCCTCTACTACAATATATTCAAGGTGAGAGCGACGTGATTTTTTTTGCAGTAACGCATTATTAACACGCCCCGTCGTGTAAATCTATATATATATTTTTTCGCATAAGAGTCGACTGAACGATGCATGTAGAGACTAATTATTATCAATCGGCACATACCAGTATTAGCCCTCTTCGTTTTTAGATTTCGACGCTTATAAAATTTAAGAAACTTATCTCTTTCATTTAATTTGAAATTTTTTATCGCAAAACTTTTTTATTATGCGCATACATATAACGAACGGGAGATGAAATTTTCTCACTGGCGGTTGAGAAACGCTGGTATTAATAGGTCAAGCCGGCTAGCGGAAAATATAGGATCATACGGGTAATCGAAATTGCGTATTAAACGAACATGTAGATTAAATAAACCGCCATTACCATTGCCGGTGCAAATTACGAGCGACGTGAACAAATTTTAATGTAATAACCAAAAATCTGCAATTTAATAATCAAATTTCTCAACGTAATTGCGATTGATACGTCGCTGCATTTCAATAAATATTAATGAAAATTGACTTAACGCCGGACTGTTTTAGAAATCTTAAACAAAAAAATTCGCGAATGTTGAAATTATATCGGCGATGAATTTTAAAGCACACGGCTTTTGTGATATAATCGTTTCACGGCAATTGCACAAAGACCGCGCGCAGTGAAATTTATTTCAAAAAGATTCTGCCCCAAAAAGAAATCGATAGCTGTCTTTGTAGCTGAATCGACGCTGCACGCACGCGACGACAAGACGCAAAGGAAATTATCTCTAGCCCGATTACAAAAGGGCAAAAATTTATTTTCGTGCCTCTTTTATCTCTCTGTGATTATTACTTCAGAAACGTGAACCGATCGCGAAATTGGCTGTACCATGAAAGGTAGCTCCTGGCAAAGGCGAGTCCGCTGTCTTCTAATTTAATTGTCACGTATGCGCCGTGTGCGGTACCGCTAAAATTAATCCGACTTTGTTGCCGACAGCGCGAAATTCTTTAATATTTCGTTTTGGAATTAAAATAGGAAAGAGATGTGACAAGTTGTAATAATTGAAATACGTCATATAGTAGTCGAATCCTAGCAAAGTCGTAATGCGATTACATGAAAACGTTAATGTTATGTATCTCAAAACTCGAGGCATATATTGTTCAAATATTGGAATGTGACTTCACTCTGCGCAAATGGGTATTGTCATAAACAGAACTTAACAAAATCAACCTTCTGTCCATCTGTCGCGGATCTCTCGGGTGTTCGACATATTCATCAGTAAAAATCACGTTCAAATTTTATGCGATTAATCTCGGGCGCAGATGGAGCAAAGTGCACTGCGGTTTATACAGCGGTTGCTATCATATTGCGGTGGCTCGTAAATACGGCTAGTCGGACAATTTCCGCGCTTGTAGCGTACGGAATATTTCGATTGGACTGTTAATTTCGTACTTGCGGCAATTGTATCGCGCATAATACCGGCGCGGAAATACCGTAATAATATTGATATATGGCCTTTATATTTTCAATATAATGCTACCACGTTATTCACGCGCGATATTATATCATGAACTTACACCCCTCGTAAAGCCGGGACCCATCATTGGAGGTATCACTGTCAGTTGTAAATTTCTGCTGAACTTTGTGAAGCTTTGTAGGAAGTGTAAAGGATATAACTTTAGATGGAAAGGGGAATAATTTGAAGAACTCAAGTTTTGCAGAAGAAGGATCTAGTGTAATTTAAAAGAAATGAGGAATGGAATTTCTGTGCAGCAGCATCCTTGCTTTTTCTCTACCTCTTTTATTCAAAAGAAATCAATAATCTTTTTAGTCGACTCACATACACGACAACGAGACGCAAAAGAATTCTTTCTTCCACGATTAAAATTTATTTGCGCATTTTTTAATTTTGTGGTTTAACTTTTAATATAAATAATTAGAACAAGTTTTATTTCAATTGCTCAAGTAGTAAGAAATATTGTGAACAAACGTAAATATGAAAAAAATACGGCCAACTGTTTAATCGTTACATTATATGTTATAATAATTTATTCGTATATTGAGACTTTATAATCTTAGAGTAGCATTATATTATTGCAAAAAGTAAAAAGACATATAAGCATTGAAAGAGAAAGAATACCTTTTGTCGTTATAATTATTTATATAATAATTATCTGTACTAATTGTTAGAAAAATTTGTATTATTTCTAGAAAAATGAATACGTTCTTTGCAAAAACATAAAGTACAGATATCGAGAAATATATAATCACTTTTTTAACGTTTGGTGTTAAATTTTTTGAGAGGAACGAAACTTTTTTCGAGTGCAGTTAAATCAACAGTAAAATATTATAATGCTTTAGCAGCACTGAGATTCCCTTCCGTAAAACTGTCGAAATAAATCTCGTTATCCGTAGATAGGTGCTCGATAACGCGTCTCGGGTGTTATCTACAGAAATCTCACGCTATGATTTATGTTATACGTTTACGTTTCTCGCGTTTTGCAACCCCCCGTCTGATTTACGTCACAATGTAGAATTTTCAATTGACTGTTTCAGGCTCTGCGAAACAGAGCGAAAAGGGCTCGTGCTACCAGAAAACCGAATTTAGGCGACATAAAACCGGGAAGTATCATCGAGAATATCGCACACACGCGTAGGTGAGTACTTGACTATGTAAATCGCTCGTTAACTCTTTAAACACCTTTTTATATTGTAGAAGTTACAGCAAGAACGATTGATTTTTGAAATTTTTTTTCTCGAAGATGTACTTTTAGTTAATTCATGCATATATACGATTTTGTGGTTAAGTATTCATTTAGCCGGAAAGTGGGAATTTGATATTAATTTCGAAATTTTTGTAAAATTAACTTTAGAAATCTTTTTCATAATACTACCTTTGGAAAAATAACGTAATTCTTGTTGTTTTAATTTTAACTTTTACTGTACTTTTTATTTATTTCAAGATAAATGAAAAATGTTACCATGCTGTATCTTTTATTAAAATTGGTGTTTTGCATGTGACGCATGTAAATATTACAACACACGTACACCCACGCGCGCGCGCGCGTGTTTGCCATATGTATATATAATATGTATATATACTATTGTCTCTGCTTCCTTACTCTGATATATATTTACAACTTTATGCAATTTTGTAAAAAGAAAAAGACGAATAAAGTCTTAATACAGTTTGGATTAAAATTTGGTCCAGAGAAGCTCTAGTATTTTATGCAGTTAGATCGGATTGAAAATACGTTTCTGTTCTTTGATTCGACATTTGTTTTGTGTCTTTTTATTCAATCAATAATACAAGCAGGTACAATGCTTAGAAAAATTGAACACAGTGTTTATTTTTTATGTATATTCGTGTACTTTTTTTATGCATCCTTGAACCATTGCATTCTCAGCCCCCGAACCGAGGCCCGTAAATTCTTGAATTTTTAACTTTCCTTACGTCTCTCCATTTTCTTTCTCTCTGATTGTTAAATTCTTAACATCGCCACACTGGATTTATCTGTAAAATAAGCTATTAGAGAACCTGTTATTTCTCGATTTTCATCCTGATATAAACAATTGCCATTGCAATGCGTTATTTAAAAGATGTTCTGTCTTGAATTGTAATACATAAATGTGTCATATTGCACAAATACACATTACTAACGTGATATACATTCACACATATATTGATGTATTATTATTTGCATAAAAGAATATTGTTTTATAAATGTATTTGCAAACAGCGATGCGCGTTTTTACTATAGGTTTTTTACACTTCAGTTTTATAACGAAAGTTCCAAAATATTTACAATTGCTGAGCAATTATATATGTATTTATTTAAAATAAGAATATCTCTCTTTACCTTAATTAATTTTTAACAAAAATTCCTTGCAAAATTGCAATACTAAAAAAGAAGTTTGAGAAATGACGATCTTTATCTCGCAATTTCGCAAAAATGTAAATTATTTTGAAATTGGATAAGAATACCGCAGTTGAAACGACATTATACGTAGTAGATCGGATCAGGATTGATTTGCGCAACTCGCGTGTCTGCAGACAAATCGTCCCGCGAGAAAAATTTATTCATACGCCCTCTTATCCGGTCCGTTTGCCGGGGCGATAAGCGCGAAGACGGGCTGCCGACACTTTGGAGCACGTCGTCGGCGCGCGTGATGCGCGACGATTCTTTTCAATTTTCGTGACCGCGTAAGGCTCGCATTCCAACGAGACAATTTCTCGCGGAGATTGGCGCCAGCTGGCGCGAGCGCGAGCTGAGAGAACGGGAGACGGCCGAGGGTTAAGTCCCGAGCATCTCCCGGATAATTCGCTTTTCTCGCACGCCTCCGCTCGCACGTGCTTTCATTTCCGCCGTGCTGACGAGGGCAGCCTCGTCTTGAATAGCAAACTACTTGTACGCCGCTTAATCGCCGGCCTTTTTGTTTGCGTACTTTCTCAGGCATGCATCTCGTTACATCTTCCTTGTTCCGTCCCCTTCGCGTTAAAGTTCATGCAAATTGAATATTGCCGGGAAGGATAGTCTTTATTGACGTTTGACGTTTATAATGGAATGATGATGGTGCGTAGTCAAGTGGGATTTAATTAATATGCACAGGAATAGAGAGAGAATTGGAATGGGATGTAGGAGGAAGAACGATTTTTTTTCTATTTCAGATTATTATAATTTGCTTCATTTAAATCAAAATGTGTACTTAACGATGGATATTATTCTAGTTTCGAGAGACAAGAATAACGCGAGCTATTCTAAATATAGAGTTAGAGATATAATGGCGATAGGCATCTCGCGATACTTTATTGTCATCATGCGAAGTGAATATCCACAACTGTATAAAATTCGCACGGGCACCATACGTAAACATCGTAAACCAAGATAATAGTATTCGTGTGCACGGCCATTTACTCCCGATGTATCAGAATTGCATATAACCTTACCGCAGCGCGCGAATTCGATATAAGAATTATTTACCACGCAACGCATCGCGATGGCTTTAAAAGGAGATATAAAATATTTCACCTTAACGTGTCCATCTGTTTTCGTCACGTATACAATTCGAGATACGTACAATTTCGGTAAAATATAGCATGTTCGAACAGCGCGAACGTCTTCCTATATTGCGAATGTTATATTATTAATGGGTAAAAAATTATAATTGCATTGACGTGAAATTAAAAAGTCTTAGTGAATTGAATTCTAACGGCGGGTAAGCTAGAGAAGCTCTTATATTTCAATTAATTGGAATTGGTTTTTACCTTAGGGAAACTTTATAATTCTCGGCCTAGAGTTAGAAAAGATATTTAATATTGGAAATTAAAAAGTTGCGAGCGGACGTAGCCCGTTTTCAATCAAAGTTTTATTCACGTCTTTAATTATAAATTGGTCGTGGTAGATGGTCCGTTGAATTCGATCGCCCCCCGAACTATAAAGGGAGCCGCGATATTTTTGGAACAACGTGTACACAGAGCCGCGTGAAGCTCGGCAGACGTATACGTCCGTAAATACTCGACGTCCCTAGCCACCTAAGAAGATTTTCGAAAAATATTAAGGCGCTTCGTTAAGTACTTGAGACTACCCGGCGGGAGTACCCACGAAAGTAAACGAAATTTTCCAGCAAACTCCTGTTTACCTTCCTTCCAGCAAAGAGTGCAGAAAATCCAAGTATTTAAGCGCTTGAACGCGGAAAAGGCACGTACTTGGAAAGAGTGGCCGAAAAGCAGGACTGGCCACGGCACGCGGAAAAGGTGTCGTTTTAGTTAAAAAGTAGAAAGCATTATCACGTACTATATTTATTTTATCTTGTACCACAACATATCAGCAGAGAGAACCACATTATAGGAAAAAAGATTTAGTGTTAATTACCTTCTAATAATATTAATTAACTGTAATTGATTCAGTTAATATTTCTCCAAAAATTTGCAATGAACAATGTTGGCACGAAAAATGTAATTTAATTTAATAATAATTTCATGTTTACGTTACACTCAGGTTTATATTCGTGGTAGTTTTAATTGTGATATTTGCAGACTATCGGTTTACTCTTGTTGAATTTTCCTCTAGAGAGTTAGATTGATTTTAAAACTTCTACAAAACTTTTTTAAAAATTTTTTTGTTTGCAAACATAAGTCTGAAATGAATTTTGTTTACTTATTTGAAAAAAAAAAAAAACATTTTTGAATTTTCATAATCAATTTAGAAAAACGTGAAAAAGCACCTACCTTTTCTCTCATACACGGTTTGTCCGTTAAATTAAAGGTAACGCGTTTCGAGAAATTGATAATTACTTTCGGTTTAACTTTGACGGAGATCTCATTTACAATAATACATGACGCATGACGGCGGTGAATGATAAATTAAATTTAGGTGTTTACAGTCGCAGTCGCAATTTGGTAACTTCATCCGCATTTTGATATCTCTCTAGGGTGCAATGTATCCGACATAATCTGGCGTCCCGGTTAATCCGCCCACATGCACCCAGGTTGGCCACGTTGCCCCTTTATCGACTTTGTTATCGCGCGGACCATAGTTCGGTCAAGAGCGCCGAAATTTTGATATTAATCTTATGCAATCTAATGCACGAATCCTGTTGCCGTGGCACGCGTATCTTATCCCGCGCGGCTAATGTTTAAGTCGGTGATTACTACAATTAATAATTATTCCACGTGATGACACGTGTAAAGCTAAAATTGCTTGCATTGAGATTAAAATGAAATAAGAGTGGAAGGAAGAATTGATTTAAACTAAATATTGCATAAATTTATACAACAAAATAACGATGTTTTTTTCCTGTTTTTTAAGATAATACCTACACATATGAGATAATTTTAATTAAAATAAACACATTTAAAATGTTTCTTGACAAAATAAGTGCTAGCATAAAAATATCTGTTAATTTTTCGTTATTTTACGAAAAGGAGTAACATTTAGCCTGGTGTGTTTAATTGTTGCCATTTAATATAAATGAAAAATAAATTTCCATATATTTTTTAGTGTAAATATATACTTTAAAACATTTTTATAGCTCTCTGTTATTTTAACAATAGATTATTAAGACATATATTTTAAATTGAACGCATACACAATTGGAGACTTTTTATCATAATTTCTTAAAACAGATTCTTAGCTATAAAATTAATTTTCTCACGTAAAAACCTTTCTCCTTCGTGGAAAATTTATGTATGCTCAGATGTATGCTTTATCGTGTATTGAAATGTGCATGTGAAAATGCTGCGTCATGCTTTGATCAGGCGATTTTTGAACATATCGATACTGTAGCGGTATATTGCGGATACTATCACTTCGAAGTTTGATAGTGCAAAATTTCACAGCGGAGCTCCCAATTTGCGGATAGGAGTGTTAATAAAGCTTACGGCAGCTCAAATCGCGGTCTCCTTCGCCAAATATATGAATTATTTTGCAATGCAAAACGAGTCTTTCGCGAGTTCAGCGAAATTAAACATTGTAACGGAATTCCGCATTATCCGAGCAGACAAAGTTTTGACAATACCATTTAGAGAATATTCGACTTTTTCGAAAATTCGGAAATTTTGGATATTGCGAGGGAGATTGAAAAATTTATAGCATATCTCCGATTGAATTTATGAGCTTGTTAAAAGCTTGTTAACAAATTAACATAACGATTTATATTCGATGAAAGCTATAACTTATCCATATTAAAAACAAATGAGACACTCAATACAAATTGTTACATTGGCAGAATATATGTTGGGCATGTTATCGATCAAAACGCAAATATGTTTGCAGTTAGATAAATTAGCGTGCAACAGACTTTAATTTACAGATTTGCACCAGCGCGCATTCAATCAAAATCACTCATTCTCTCTCTCGCTTTTTCCCATCTCTTTCTCTCTCTCTCTCTATCCTTCTGTCCTAGTTTCCTTTCTATTAATTTTTTGAATATTTATACGATTAAATATATTGGTTTTTTGATATACTTAATATAATAAACTTTTAAATACAAAAATAAAAAGTATATATTATATTTAAACACGTTACTTATTATACGTCCCAAATTAGAGAGAAAAGCTTGTGACTTATCACATTATTTCGACTTGAATCGCTGTCACGTAACAAATTAAAGTCTTCGTTTGAGAACCCGCCGTAAAAAAAAAAAAAGGAAACAGCGACGCTCTGTCACTCAGGATCTTGCAGGTGCTGTCAAAAAGCGTGTCGTCGCTTTGTGCATGATAGATACGCTACTTGCTGGATTAACGCTGGGGGATGCCGGATAAACAAGGAAGTGCATGATAGGTGTAGAGGCTTTTCTAGAGGCTTTTGACTAAGATCACGTAGTGGGTATTCTGTGGCAAGGTTCGCGGAAACGGCGCTGGGGGCGGCCGCCCTGGTGGCACCGGGGATCGAGGAACCGACGAACACCGCTTCCGGCAGCAACGAGGACGAGGATGAGACGCCCCTCGATCCCGTCGTCGTCATCTCCAATGACAAGAGCACGGAATTCTTTTTAGCCACGGTCGTCGAGGAAGCAGCGTAAGAATTTCATCATATCTTCTTATCACTCGTGCCTCCTCCACCCACCTCCCCGTCGCGCGCATCCCGAACGGAAGGAAGATGTCGGAATTTTCTTTCAACGATATCGGATCGCATTGTCATGATGTTGTGCGACGCGACTCATCGCATCGACCGTCAATGCAAAAACGTCGTTTGCGTTGTCCCCGACGACGGTAGCCGTCTTTCAAGCTCGTTAGCGTCGCTCAGTTTGAAATGTGTTCCTGTGAACCTCTTTGCGATGACAAGTTACGATATGAAGTCGAGCGTGATCAAAGAGCATCTCCGCCAGGTCTTCCGTAAAATATATATGATTGATTCACGATGAATTGCGTAACGTTGCGCTTATTATTAACTATTCGTCCCGATTATCGTAGAAGTTATTATAACGTCAATAACTCAGTCATCGATATTTAATACGCGCGCATCAATTTTCATGCGGAGTTATTTTAAAATAATATAAAATTGTATACTTTTTTATTTGCAGTACCATTAAGAGAAAAATATTATATACGTTGAACGGCATTTTTATAATAAATATTTAAATACAAATGATAAGCATCCTTAAGCACATTGAATAAATTATAAAATGAAGTTTATTGTATCGCGGGCAATGCCGGAATTAATTTATAAAACGATTTATATAAATAATGAAGGGCACTGAATAACCAAGATACAACTTCTCTTTCCATCTACTTCTCTTTGCTCCGAGTAATGAAGCGAACAGTTAAAAAGTCGCGGATGCCTGAAAGGCGAAAGAGATGATTATACGATATTCCATTCATTCGTGTAACGGGTATAGAGACGTAGAGAAATGTCCGCGTTTCTTTTCATTACGCGCCGCTTGAAATGATACGATCTGAGGTCTTCCGTATCATTATCACACGGGAAGTAGCTTCCCTCTCTGTTTAATTCATCTAGGTTGCGACTTTCGTAATTTGAGAAAAGTACGAAACACGAAATTGAAAGAGAGTCTAAAGGAGGGGAGGGGGCTTATTGATGTCAAATTAAATTTCCTTCGTGTAACTTGACCTACATATTTAAAAGAATCTCATTAAACGATCCTATAAACTTTTTGGATGCTGTGCTATTATTTGCCACTTAACGTCGTACGAGAAATGAGACTCTCGTAATTTCAAGTTAAGGAAATTTCGGCAAGCGGCACGAAAGGTAAAAGGCGATTCGTTGAATAAAGCAGGCAAATATAGAACGACGCGAGCACGTACAGGTCGTAGTGAGCTACAATTATTTTTCTACTCTCTCTTTCTAAAGATTTCCAAGCGACACGAAAAGGCTTTGAGTCAATCAAAAGTTTCCGGCCTGCCGTTTAATTGGTCAATTGGGAGTCTTCAATTAAGAGGATATTTTACTTCTGCCCTCGCGTGTCGCAAAGTTTGCGAGTTTGTGTCCCGTCCGCTACGAGAGGCCTCTTCAGATTACATGTAACATGAGAGTAATTGCAGATTCTTTTTGAGCAAGCGATGATTACTGTTTCGGATTGTCCCTGCTCGGTCAAACTATAATAATATATCTGCAGTAGCGAATAATACATCTACGTGTTATTTTATCAAGTTACGAAAGTTGTTTTCAACTTTGTATACGTATCCACGAAGTAATCTCTCTCCGATTCTTGTTTATAAAGCAATTTTGTGTTTTTCAGAGATTATAGCGCAGATTTCTTTAAACGTCGTGGTTAATTATTTTTTATTAAGTAAATTTTTTTTCTTGTTCTTTTAAATGGGACATTTAACGGTTTTTTTCACTTTTTAAAAGCACCTTTCGGAAATTCGTCTCGAACGGATAAAGAGGCGAAGACAATTCAGAGCGGACGCCGGAACTTCGCCCGATCGGAAAACTTGGACAGGAAGTCACGTCGATATTCGGGACGGCTGACAAGTTGGACATTCGAAAGTTTGCGCGCGTCGAACGATGGGGCGAAATAAAAAAAAAGGAATTCGCAGTTCGGGGGAAAGAGAGTGAAGGGGAGCACATGGCAAGCCGACCGGCGAAAAGCCGATGATCTCGTAATTATTTTCTTCGTTCTCTCGACAATCGCAGTACAGTGGATGTCACTCGGAACTGTGCGAGAGTCCATATGCTCTCTCCCATCTTTCCTCTCTCTCTCTCTTTCTCTCTCTCTCTCCCTTTCTCTGCTTCCCTCTCTTCCTCTCCCTCTCTTTCTCTCTCTATTTCCAAAACTCTATTCAAAGCCCGTGCACAGTACTCGTTTAACGGAAACTTGTCGCTCCGATAGTAATCCGGAAGTTCGCGAGCTAATCGCGATGGGGTGGTCTCTTTGTACCGGCGGTCCACGAACAATTTGCATCTAGCCACTCGCGTTATCTTTGAAAATGAGTCAATCAACTCTGTGCACACGGACATTTCACATTAATTAGTGTGTACTTTCAGTGCTCAAGTGATACAAACGCACATTTTGGTATACGCGTGAGACTTCGCGTTGAGTTATTATAAAAGATTTTTGTATGGAACGCAATTTATTAATGAATTGTGAGCTTTTATTTATCGCGTTTTTATTTCTAATTACGCTTCTAAAATATTATACAAAGGAAAAAGAAGAAATACAACATAATCTTTGTAGTGGAAAGCAAGTTGTACGTGGTTTATTATCTTAAAAAAATATTGTATATTAAAATTATATTAAAATAATTATATAATTATTTTTAATACATAAAACGATGATTTACATATATTAAAATTCGGTAAAGAAAAATACATCAAAATATTAAAAATATTCTTTTATATATAATATAGTAAATTAGTTCTCGCTGTGTATTTGTTTAGGATATTTTTTTCCTTTTCTTGTTTCCGAAAGGATGTAAAACCTGGTGTCATTTGCATGAATATTTTACTGTCTCCTAATTTATATTAATCTGTTATATAACATCCGATTCCCCATAACGTTTTTTTAAAAATATTTTATTATGTTCCCATTTTACGATACAATACCTACCAACGTTTCAGAAACGTATAGAAACGCAAGAGATCTTAAATATAAAATTTACCTTGCAGAGAAATAAAGTACGTCCACAGCTAGTGATAAATAATAAAAAAAATATAAAGACTATTAAAGATTAGGATATATACAAATTTTTTATCCAAATCTGAATGTAGGATTATATGCAAGATGACAATACACAGAATGATGCAAAAAAAATATTGCATTGAGTAATATCTTTGAAGATTTTGTCCATAATTAGTTTACTTTCAATGCACAAATGTAATCTCGTGGCAATAACGAAAATAATTTATATGACATCAAGTGCGATTTCTGAGAGCTTTATTGCGTAACCTCTACGTTTCTGTCACAAGATCTCGGTCTCCTAACCGAACTTTAATTGTGACCGATGATGCAGGCTGTAAACTTCAATACGAAGCGGGGTGAGTGCCGGGTTTTTCTGACACTCGAATGGCAGTTGTCGTTTCAGCGCGGTGGCGCAAGCCCAGCTGACTTCGACGCCGCACGCGGTGCAGCGGCAGGACTCCAGCGGGTACGACGCCGCGGCGAGCAGTACGATGATCCACGAGCCACTCGAGACGAATTCAAGCCCGAGCCCGAATCCGCGGATCACGTCGGGCCCGCCGTCCTCGTCGACCTCCTCGTCGCCACCGCCGACGCGCGGCCAGACCAGCGTGTCCTCGGCGACGACGCAGACGAAGAGGAACGGTAACAACGGCGGCGCGAACAAGCAGGAGCTGAAGCGACTGAAGAGCGCCGGCTCGCTCCTGCCGCTGCAGCTCGCGCGGACACCCAGCGTGCTGTCGTCCTCGTGCAAGAAGGATCGGAAGAACGCATCGTCCGGGTCGAGGTTCACGATATACAAGGCCAACAAGGCTAGCAAAAAGAAAAGGGAGAAAAGCTCGGCCAAGAAGGAGCGCAAGGCCACGAAAACTCTGGCAATCGTGTTAGGTAAGTTGCTCGCGTGCCGCTGCAATGATAAGTAGCTCAGCCCGATCCGTCTTGCATTTATTGATGAGCTCTCACGGATGAGAGAGGAGGGTCGCGAGTTAGAGGGAAGAACGACGTTACTGGAAATGGATATATCTAAATGTCTGAACATCGTCGTGGGCGGAGAGGCAAGTGGTTTAGGAAAAACACCGAAAGATCAGGAGATTAGTTATACGTCCGGCATGACGGTTTGATCGGATCGAGCGATTTATCTCTGTAACTATTTCTCGCAAGTGATAAATAAACGGCAATATCGATACGAGACTGCTCGAAAGGGTAGGTTTACTTGAATGTCGAAACGTTAAAATCAATACGAAGAAATACTGTGAAGAGTAACGCGTATTGTTATGTTACAGAGAAAGAAACTTTAAATTCTCTTCACCGGTACAAATATCTCGCCATTAAGAAGTAAAAGTTGAAGCTTGTCAAATATGTTTTGTTGAATAAAGTCCACAGTAAGAGGTTGAAAGACCAAAAAGGATTAGAAGGATAGTATTTGTATTTTGCAACAAATATTTCTGATACATAAGACATCAAAGGAGTAAGTTAATAACAGACGTTGAAAGTTTCTGCGGTCCTTAGTGTATTAAAATCGTTAACAGAATGTATTTTGCGAAGTGAACAAAGTGCTAAAGCTCAAAGGTACTTGCTTTGTAGAAAATAATAATGGTTAATTTAAAACGCATACATTTCATAATTTCCGACAGTAAATATTGCATTATAAATTAAAAATGAGGAATGAGGATAAAAATCAAATTGCATTATTACTCTTTATTTTATATTAAAACTCATCAAGTCTATTGTAATTAACAGTTAAAATAAAGCGTCTATATCACTTTCTTTAATTTTTTAGTTTTTTTGTTTAGTTGTAACAATTCGGATAAACGATAACATGAAATGTATTATATATCGAGCATTTATATATCAAATTTATATATAGTTTGCACTGCATTTTTGTTATTTAAGATATCAGGGAGAAAGAGGGTAGTAAGATTTCTTAAGATATATAGCTATAATTAAAATTGTATTGCAAAAATCAAAAAAATTAAAAATAATAATTAGGTGTCGTTATATCTTTAGAAAATAGAGAATATTAATTATACATAATTTACTAACGCAATTATTTTGATTAACGTCATAAATGTCACAGGTGTCTTCCTAATATGCTGGGTGCCCTTCTTCACTTGCAACATCATGGACGCAATCTGCACGAAGCTGACGAAGGCTTGTCAGCCTGGCGTTACAGCCTTCATCGTCACTTCCTGGTTGGGCTACATGAACAGCTTCGTGAATCCCGTAATATACACTGTGTTCAACCCCGAATTCCGTAAGGCCTTCCGCAAGCTGATCAGCATATAAGCGAGCGATTCACCCGCTCGCACCGGGTTAAGAAGAGACACGGGACAGCAAACGTAAACTTCGGTGTGAATCGTCGTATTTGTGATGTAACAACGAGACTGTAGGCTCTCGGCATGCTTGCAACAGGTACTGTTCTTGTATTTGGAAATCTCAACAGCTGCATTTGCCTATCGGTTTTCGCGTTCCGTTGCGTGTCAATCGTTTTCCAAGCGAGTAAGAAAAACCGAGTTTCGCGAAACGTTTTCCATTTTCTATCACTTAGGAATAAATACGGTCCGCGGGGTGGGGAAAGAAAAAAAAATAGAAGGCACTATTTCCGACTTCATGTACGAGTTGAGCGTTTCGTGAAAATAATTATTGAAGATTGTCAAAGAGTAATTAAAACAATGGAAATGAAAATGTCTCTACACTGTTAAATCCATTGTGTCAAATTTAACCTTATTTAAGTCGCCACTGCTCCTTAATATATAGTTCATTTTAAATAAAACAATGAAATTTAATCCAAATTTGAGTTGACTTTGAACTGTTTTAAATTATTTAACTCTATTGTTTTAGTTAAAATTAATTATATATTAAGTAAGAAGCAGTGCTAACTTAAAGGTTAAATTTGACACTATATGGATTTAACAGTACTTGACAAAATTTTTGTCAAATACACGTATAAAATATTTAAATATTGCTATTTTTTTCTTAGATTCATACGATACTCAAGACGGTATGTACAATATACACTTAAAGATATCATTCGTTATCAATCACGTTGACGCGCGGGAGATTTCTTAACTTAATCTTGGATAAAATTGACACGCGAACGAACAGTGAAAATTGTTTATTGGTAAATTCGTTGTTATCGCTGCAGCAACGGTCCATCGCGTCCACGTGCGTGAAAATGCGTGCACTGTGATATCGAACTATCGTGGCGTGATACGCGCGCTATGCGGAGGACGCACACGCGCGCTTAGAATTACACGTGCACGAACGTGCACAGTCGGAGTTGAATTCTGGCACGAGTATAGCTCAAGTAATTGCTAAGTAAGGCTTTGCGAAGCAAAAGCAAACACACGGCGCGTCGATCAACCGCGCAAATTAGCAGGAAATTTAGGTAATCTGTACAAATCACATGCGGCAAGGCGCGCGTTTACGGCGCCCGAAGGACTCGTTATATAGAGACAGCTAGGCTAGCTCTATATCGGAGGTGTAATAATCACGCGTTCGTACGGGGCGTATTATTACCACCCCTGGAAGATAATTTAAGTTCGCGAAAGCAGGTAATAATGAGATCCGCGAGAGGGTAGAAGAGAGGGAGGAGGGAGGAGGGAGGGGGAAGAGCGCGGACGGTTAAAGTTGTTAGAGGTGTATTTATTATGCGAGCATATATTACACACTATACGTCTCCATCTGGATGATTAAGTACGCCATGACAGTATTAACGTAGGACATAAGTTATAGCAATATTTTTTCGCTCAAAGCAAAAGCAACCGAGGGCGCCGTTTGTACGACGATACATAGAAACACGCTGTTACACACTTGCGTGTCGCAATTTAATTATATGTATTTATACTTCGGTACATATAGAGAAAGAGAGAGAGAGAGAGAATGAAAAAAGAGTGAAAATGCAAGAGAAAAAGAGATACATAATTATTATCCCTATACATACGTTACATAAATAAATTTACGTCCTTTCACGATATACAGGGTGAAATCCTGGCAGGAGCTTTAGGACAACATGGAAGGAGATTAACTTTTGGGAACAGTGTAACTTGAAAACGCTAGCTTGAACGCTCTTTAATGAATTTATGTTATCAAACATCGGAGAACATATAAATTATTTCTGAGTTTTGGCAAGAAACTTATTAAAAGCCCGTGCATCCGAGAATAAGATATTTTTCTGAACGTGGAAATATATTATATATTTAGGAGAATGACGCGATTCATTGAGGCTTTTGGGAGCGTAACCTTTATTTTTGCGAGAAAACACGCGTTTTTCGAAGAATAAATATAAATTCGCTATTAAATCGCCTTTCGAGAGAGGAAGAGTTTCCGATATTTTGAAAAATTTTAAACGCTTAGTCTCTCGATATTTACATATACGTGGTTCTCAGGGTTTCTCAATTTTGCGCTCCCATCACCTTGCATTGATCTCTCATTATAATAACAACCTGTCCAGTCTGCATACTTCTACTTTGTTGAAATCACAGCTGGTAATTAATTCGTAACGTACGATTTTTTATCGAAGTAACAATTAAATGAAGATGAATTTGAATCACAATCAAACTATGGCAGCACAAAAATTTCTTAAAATCAAATCACATAAGCAAACATATATTTTACAAGCTATATACATATTGTGAATATCAATGAGGCAATACGTAAATAAAGTTACTCATTTTTATTCATATTATATGTCTTTTTATTAATTTTAATTATTAATTAATGAAGTTTAATACGTTTTAGGTGTACTATTATGGATATTAAATTCTTTTAAATTATGAAAGAAATTTCGTGTTACGTCATGTCACTCATCTGCAAAGTATTAGTGTAGTAAGCAACGGATACATAAATAATAAATGGAGCGTGAACGTGCAGGGATTGAGAACTCCTGATATATTATTTTACGATTTTGCCGTGACGCACATACACACACATATACACATGCAGATATGACTTGCGAGCATCATACACAGGCTCGATCGAACGGCGAAATTCCGGAACTTGTTCCAACCGCTTCGGCGCGCTTTGATATGTAGGATTTGTCGCGATATTCCGATACCAATGCCACCAGTTACGAATCGTATGAATAATCAGGTGGACTTGGAACAATGACGATGGCGTACACGAAGATCGGAAACACAATTCTCGGTTTCACGGCCCGATCGGGCGCAAAAGCGCAACAATCGTCGGGATTTACGGGCCCGTGACGTATAAATGCAAACTATCGCAGAGCTATCGATTTCTCTTAAAGTGCAAAAGTAGAATACGAATGAAATTAATATACTTTACAAAGGATTAACAAGAAATAAAGGTAAAAAAAAAATAAATGTAGTAAATGGGAAATATATGAAATATAAAAGAGTAACACTTTTGTGGTAAGGAGTTCGTTATCGAGTTTCGTGTTTGCAAGATTCCTATTTAGTCCAAAATTGCGCCGAGCCTCTCGCGATACTGTATGTACGTGTCCTAAGTTTCGACGATCTTTCGTGCCCTCTCTGTTTCGTGGTCAAGCGTGAAATTCATCCGTGACCGAATTTTCAAACATATCAAGTATAAGAGTACGCGGCGCGATAGCCGCCTACTCAACCAATCAACCAGTCGAACGAATTGGCTGTACGCTGCATCATTTTTTTTCCTTTTTCTTGAAATGATCAGTGCGGCTGTATATACTCCTCAAGACTTTTTTATCGAGCTGCGAGATGGTGCGCACCAACAATCGCGCTTCCATCAAAATCAATCGTGAAGCAAGGATTGCTTGGAAGAAAGAGAGCGAAAATTCCTCTGAAGGACTTAATTTATTCTTCTTGTTTAATACTGTTTAAAGATCTAATGTTTGTTAACCATCTCGCTGCGAAAAGGATATACATTTCTTACAATTATGACGTTATCGCGTTTCTTGATGATGATATATAAACGTTTTATATTTCAGAGACATTTAATATTACTGTGATTTGTGAATATATGTATATCAGTACTTAAATCTTGATAATATTTAGCAACAGTTTTTTGAATATTAAGGGGTACGATACATGTTACGGCACTCAATGCAAGAGAATTACTTTGTTAAGTATTTTCACGTTTTACTTGTCTTCAATGTCCATGGGAATCTATGATAGAACAACTGAAGTTAAAACGAGTATAATCTCCCGAGACACTGTTTATACATTTATGCGTAACAAATTAGAAGTCGTTCGAATTTAACATGAAGTATATTTCTCCGTATCCATTACGTCGGAAATTAAGCTCGTCGGTTTCCATTTGGGAGAAAAAGACAAACATATCCTTAATACGGCGCGAAGGGGAGCGCTCAGAAACGCAGAGTACGATCTACGTCCTGTGTTTGATTAACCCGTGCAGAGTTTCACGACTTTCCTCTCAATCGTGAAGTTCATGTTTCAACTAATATTTGATCGACGTAATATGAGCATCTCCAATCACGTTAATGTCGAAAATACGGTGGTTTCCACGGGTTTCAATGAGAGAAACTGATTAGCACGTGTGTCTATAGAGAACATATATAATATTATAGTATGTAATATATTTAATCATTTGGATGACGTTTAACAATGCTTTGTTTATAAAGCGAACAATGACATTAAATATACAACTACAAACTCGCGTACAAAGAGAAATAGAGAGAATAATTTAATGGGAGCGTTTCGTAATTTGTTAATATTAAATTGTTGAAAATATAATAATATTAGATCATCAAGAGATGCGGTAGCGTTTCGATGCATAAAATTTATCAACCCAAACGTGATTGTGTTCATTGCATAAACATTGAGCTGTACTATTTCCCTATATCTGAAAATTTTACGTCGAGCGTGTTTTCGATTACATTACTTCGGAAACAAGTTTCTTGTTAAGAAATATCTTGCGACACTACGGTGTTCTTACGAGGTCGATGTGTAAGCTTTTTGATTGCAGCCGAAAATTGGCGCTGTCAATCTCCCGAAATCTCGAGATCTGTGCTAAAAGCGATAATTTCGCTCCTGGTTTTCGTGCACGGCAAACGATTTTTGTCCCTCCAGCCGTTATTCGCAAGCTCACGTTTGAAATGTGTTAAAATTTAAAAGATTTAGCATGTTCGGAACTGAAATAGAAGAGACTTCGTAGTTGATTTTACCTCTCGGAAAGAATGATCGATTAACCGTTTAATTTCATCCAAATTCCCTTTTAGCTTTGAAAATGATTACCAAGACCATGCAAATTTTTTTATTAACGCATCACTTTTATCTTAGGGAGGTTTCTTTGGTGTAATAGATATTTGAGGTAAGCGTAGCAACGCTTTTAAATCAGTCCAGATGCAATTTTTTTGCACGGTCCGAAGCGTTGCGAACAAATCGTGATATTGTTCGTTTCGATATGCGTTGTGCGTGTTCGTGCTGCTGTGCAATAACGTCTACAATCAAAGCTTTTTACTGCTGGTTTTTTGAATGCTGTACGACGTAGCTTTAAGCCTCCGATGTATATTTGTAAATATTCTACGAGCTACTATACGAACGATGGGTACCGTCAATCCTAACGTTACGTACAAGCTCCGTGTTACACGTGGCGCGGTTTACGACGACGATCCAATCGGGGGGGAGTTGATTTAGGTTGAACGCACGTTCGCGCACGTTT